CTAGGTAGATGAATATTACTGAAGGATTGGTCTGTACGAGCAGAATAGCCTAAGACGTCCTCTTCAGTGAGAGTTGACGAGTCAAGTTGTTCTGTGTTGACACTATTTCCATTTCTAGATAGTGCCGGTAGATGTTCGACATTTATCGACATAGCAAAAGGTATATGATCAGTTGTTGCTGCTCCATAAAGAATGCCCATAGATCCCAATGAAGCATGTGCATCAGCTGTACTCATACAATGGTCCAGCCATGATGTAGTGTGCCAGGCCTCACTAATGATTGTATAGCTATCTGTAGGCAAAAGCACTTCGCTTGACAATATAAAATGATTGTCTTACAAAACTGAGCCATGTGCTTGGCAAATACTGAGCTTGTGTCTGTGATATCTGCATTCATATCCCCAATGACATATATACTAGAAGAAGTACTATCTTCAATGAAGGAATTGATGAAGGCAAGCCTATTTAGATATTCATCCTCATTGTGATTGCACTCATAGTGTGTATAAACATTTAGGATAATGAATTCCTTATTAGAGAAGCTTCGCATGTACTGCTTCCCTTTCCCGCTGTCTGCGGTCAGGTTGATCTGATATTAGCTCGTTCACCTGAAGTTTCTCCGCCAAAGTTCTCCTCTCAAACGGGTCTTGGAGGAGCAGTGTTCGCGCTCGCCTGTAGAGACTAGTCCTGACGAGAAGGTGCAATCTATTTGAGGACACTGATTGGCTAAATTGTATGTTACACATTTATATCTTCAATCAACAATTGGCTAAACTGCTTCACAGACCCGCCTCCTGTGGGCACTTTCTCCAGAGCTGCTGAGACATGCAGACAGGTGGTGAGGACGTGCAGGAAAAGCATATATTTTGCGCAGATATCATATTTTACACATTACTGGGTGATTTCATATTTCAAAAACACAAATATTCACAATTTGTATAGTTTATTATTATTATATATATTTTTTTTTTATTTGTGGCTCAAGGAGGGGCGGCGCCCTCTATTGACCAGCCGCCACTGCCGATCATTGATGATCCATATTGGCAGATACAGATCCTTTTGTTGTTTGATTATAGCAGCTGGTCTACAAGGATCCAGACTTTCTGCCCACCGTCCCAAACATCATTTCAACCACTCTGAAGGGTTACAGACTTCAGAGTAGAAAACTTCTAAATGTTATCCTTTTACTTTGTTAAGTCATTTATAGTGAGTTTTTTCTTCATAAAACACAATTCAATTGATTAGAAAATAAAAGATTGTATTTTTTAATGGATTAAAACAAATCTTGTTATCAGTAGTTTTAATGATGTATTATAATCAGCTTAGAGCGAGTGCAAACAGGTTATAGTTCTCTCTCTATCTATTTATATTGCTGTGAAAACATCTCCTTCAAACTACTGGATCTATTTAAGTTTCTCACCAAAACTACATTCTACGAGATCACATGTGAACACATCATGATAACGTTATAATTTACCTTTGCCCAATACTCATTTTCACTGAACAGAGCCTGAACACATCATAATGGAACTGAAAGGAACCTTCGTTCTCCTCCTGTCAATCTAAACACGGATTGGTTGTTTACAATGTAACGTTATCAGATCGCTGACTAGAAAAGCCATAGTGATGTCCTGATGGCATATTTTACTGAATATTGGGGGATAAAGATCGTCAGTAAATCTTGATTTTACACTGTGATGGTAAACTGTAATTAATCTGCAGTTCAAATGCGTGCCGAACCGTGAGGGGGATCTGTACGGATCACAGATCAACAGTGGTCCGTTACACCACTAGCAGTGATTAGCTAGCCAGTGGGGCACACGCACTGGGACTCTCATGCATTACAATGTGAACAAAGCGCAGAGAACACTCCGATAACAACACAGAGAGAGAGAGAGACTTCATTCTCTGCTCAGGTAGACAATACTCAAACATCTGCATCCGATAACAACACAGAGAGAGAGAGAGACTTCATTCTCTGCTCAGGTAGACAATACTCAAACATCTGCATCCAGATTATAAAACATACATACCATGTCTCCCATAGCCATATTTTTAGATTTGTTCACTGTATTTCCACATGTACATATGAATAAAAGAGTATCTTTGGAAGTAATCTCACATAGCCCACCCTCTCTCCACAGCGCTATGTCAAAATGTCCGGCCGCACACATTATCAGTATGGTATAGGGAAAGATTTCTCTGACTTTTTTGTATTTCTTTGGTACTTAAGTAAATGTACAAAAGTATTTGCATCAAAATATACCTAAAGTATCAAAAGTACAAGTATACTCATTATACAGAACGGCCCATTTCAAATAGTATATTTATAGTAGGCTTATGTCATTGATGCAGTAATATGTTAATCACTTTAATATTGCAACTGGTAAAGGTGGGGCTGATTTGACCTACTTTACATACTTAATAATTAGGCTATGCACTATTTATTAATACATCATAGTTGATTCATATTTTGTATTAACAATCTGAATCTGCAAAGTAGCCTAACTAATAACTAATATTGTGTAATGAATGTAGTAAAGTTAAAAGTACAATCGTTCCTTCTGAGATTTATTGGACTAGAACAGGGGTATTCAACTAAAATTCCAAAAAGTCCAGATTGAGAAAATCTCCTCGGGCAAAGGTCCGAAACATTACAATAATATCTAACTCGCGCTATTTAGTGCCATATATATATAAATATATTCAAGAAGCCTAGTAGTAGTAACAACGTCTCTGTGTAGTCAACAACTGTCAAATCAAATAAAGAAAGTACACATCAATTATATTTTAACAAATTATTATTCTCAGTTTTCAAATGATGGATGGATGGATTATAAAGAAATGCATAAATACATGTTCTTCTCATTACAAGTACAATAAGGGCTGGAATAAAGAATAACTGACAAAACAGAAAGCTTTTCAAAAATGTGCATCTTAAAATAAAGTACTTAATTTTAGAAAAAAAAATTTCACTGAATTGTCCTGCAGCTTTAAATTCAGGTGTGAAGTGATGTCAATAAAAAAGCCACAATATTATATTTTTGTCATCTAAAAATAAATCAGTGAGCATGGACTTTATCTGTGGTTATTAACACTTGTTTCAGCTCTATTCTCTCTGGTAACATCATTGGACAGTGAATTCATGTGTTAGGATTCCGATCATATTGGGCTTTGGAGTTTATTTTCTGTGTCTTCATTTCAGATGTGAGTGGGTACGTTTGCTCAAAAGAGTTGTGCTTTGTCTCGTATTGCGCTTCATTTGCCGCTTTTATCAATAGTTACGGTTTCTGAACATATGAGACATGCTGGTTTTAACTGCCTGTGGGAAGAATTAACATATAAGAGTTTTTTAATTCTTGCTTATAAATTCTATTCTCTCTGAACACGTTTCTCTTATTGGAGAACGTCATGTGAGATAACTTCTCTAGATAGGGAAATTCTCCTGCTCTTCTCAATATTTCCTTGTCTCAGCCCGTGTGTCACGCTGTGTGTAAATCTCACTCAAGTCAGGAAACTTGTCAGAATACCCATATTTGATTGGCTGAGCTGCATCACGTGATGTGATTCACAACGCATTGGTCGGTGTGTTTCCTGCACCGCTGAACAAGTACCGTAACGGCTGAATAACTTGCGCCGGTTAAAGTATAAATTCACCGTGTAGCATGTATAATTCCAAGTTATCTATCGGTTTTAGGTCCTGGGTCCGGATGCAACTGGGTCCGGATCCAGACCGCGGTCTGCCAGTTGGGGACCCCTGGACTAGAGGGATAAAGTTACATACAATGGTAAAACTCAAGTAAAGTACAAGTTCATCAAAATTGTACTTAAGTACAGTATTGAGTAAATATACTTAGTATTGATACTTTAAATAGGAGCACAAATGTTTGCTCTTAAAGTGCACCAGATTGATGCATTTAACTGTTTCCCCGGACCCCCCTGGGGGCGACTGTGGCTGTGGCTGTGCCTACGGTGTGTGAATAGTATGAATGGTTAGTTACAGTCCTGATGGGCAGGTGGCACCTGGCATGGTTGCCCCTGTCATCAGTGTATAAATGTGTGTGAATGGGTAAATGATGACATGTAGTGTTAAAGCGCTGTGAGTGGTCAGAAGACTAGAAAAGAGAAATACAAGTACTGTACATTTACCATTTCCCGCTAGAGGGTCGGAGGTCCACCCCCCATACTCTTTAATGAGGGAAAACTGGTATAAAGAAGGACCGGGCAACCTGGAACCAAGAAACATGCAGTACACATGCTCCCATTTTTAAAAAGTGCCTGCAGTACAGTTTAGACTCTGAACCACTATAACATGCTCACTGGGGGTCACATCATTAAATACCCATTATGTCATTCATCTTGTGTTTCATAACTGTCATGGATGTTCTTTGTAGTTTTTATGATGTTCTTAAATATCTCCCTTGAATTTGTGTATTGAAGGGACAAACGTGACAACAACAACAAGGAGACAAAATGTTGTTATTTAATGAATAATAATTTGTCATTGTGATGGACAGATTACCAAAAGGAGCAACTCGGAGAAACCTTTGGATCACTAACTCACACCGTGCAGACTCCTGGGATCCTCAGACAGATTTCGTCTACTTCTGCTCCAAACACTTCACCCCAGACAGCTTTGAACTGACTGGATGCAGGTCTGTAGACTCAATCAGTATCAATAGTTTCTGTTATTGACCACGTGTGCTGAATATGAGTCTACTGCTGACGGTGTTTGGATAACAGCCCCTAATGTGTTTGACCTTCTCACTCACAGTGGGATCAGAAGACTAAAGGAAGATGCATTTCCTACAGTATTTGATTCCTCTTCAACAACCAAATGCAAAAGACCAGGAAGACTGCAGACACAAGAAGACATTCCTGTCAGGTACAGAACTGATACAGAGTCACATTTTGTCATTGGCGATGAGCCGTGTCAGTGACGTACCATCTGACAACCTCTTGTGTGCTGTCTTGAGACAGGACATAAAAGATTCTGAGCTTGTAAAATGATAGTGAGACATGATTTCATATGACTTGCTATCAAAAGTTATAGACAACAAAAAAAGATTATCTCAGGATTTGTGAGTTTGTGCAAGACTTTAAAATGTTGACATTATTGTTAATTGTTCTGTTTCCAGTTCTGCCATTAGTGACTATATTACTATGATTAGTGAGTATGCTTGCCTTTCAAAGTAAATATATACATTTAATTTAAGATTTTATAATTTTTGTAACTTTTTTTGTAAATTCACGTGAGCTAATAATATAATATAAACTTTATTTTTACAGCACTTTTCTTAACAGTGTTACAAAGTGCTTTACTACAGCCATGCTAGCAGCTACGTTATACTTAGGCTGATTTGTATTTTGAGCGACATGCTCAAATTGCATTCTAACATACTCACAATGACAACTTTAACATGCTTTAGCAAGTACAATGTTTACCATGTGCACCATCTTAATTTAGCTTGTTAGCATACTAACAGTTGCTAATTAGCACCAACAATATATAATAATTAGTGCTGGGCAACGATTACAATTTTTAATCGCGATTAATCGCATGATTTGTTTTGCGATAATTTTTTGCGTTATTGAACAAAAGTGCAATAATATTTGGTTTGCAAACATTTTAAACAAATAAGGTTCTCTTTAACAGCAGTATTCCCTTTACACAGCAGCAGTTAAAATACAGTTATGATTCTGATAATAGATATTCAGCCGGTGTTCACAACTATATTTTCATGTGTGTAACAAATGCAATTTGAAATATACACCTTGGCAACTGCAAACCTAGCTACGTCATGTTTGATAAATTCTTAGTAGCGATAACTAAATGATATGCTTATTATATATACATATTATAAACAAAAGAACTTTAAAAACTCTAAAAAAAAATAATTAAAATGAATCATTCCTCGTCTCTCCCCCGTGTGTCATGGTGTGTGTACATCTCACTCAATTCAGGAAACTTGATAGAATACCCATATTTGATTGGCTGAGCTGCATCAGGTGATGTGATTCACAACGCATTGGTTGGTGTTTTTCCTGCACCGCTGAACAAGTGCCGTAAATGCTGGAATAATTCTGCTGCATAACAAATGGCTTTCAAAATAAAATCGCATTTTTTATTTATTTTTTTCTGTTGTCAGGCAATGGTGATGTCCTGATAGCATATTTTACGGAATATTGTTGGATAACGATAGTCAGTAAAACTTTACTTTACACAGCGGTGGTTAACATTAAACTGTAATTAATCCACGGTACACGTGCGTGCCGGACCGCGAGGGGGAATCCGTACCGATTACGGATCAACCGTGGTCCGTTACACCACTACTTTATTTGATGCACCCAATACCAACCACAGGCCTTATGAGGTAGTAAGAACAGGAGTGTGCTTAATGTTTTCACAAGAAAATTGCATTTCTATCAATTAAATATTACAAGTAATTTTAACCTTAACTTGTTGAACTATATTACCTCCAAAATTTGTTCAAACAAATATCAAATTTACATATGTTCAAGTATTTGGAGAAAGACAAGAGTTTTCATTAGGTGTACCGACATTGTGACAAGAGTCACAAAGATAGGATAATGCACAGCAAATTACTCTAATCTTATCAATCAACACCAGTGGATCACCTGCTTTGCAAATTAGAAGGCCTTTCAATGAAAACAGTCCACTATCACTACAACCTTGCATCCAAATGCTTGCCTGAATGACATCGGCATTGTAAATTGCAGTACCTCTCACTCTGGCCACTCTATTATAAACTCCAGTCATTGATGAAGTAGGCCAATATTAAACCTGAAAGACAAATCTTTGAGTGAAAGATTTAGTCTCAACCGAAGTAAAACCAAAATTAACTGTTCAAATTTGGACGGTGCAGACAAAGTTCTAGAGGTGATGTGTGGCTCACATGATTGAAACACTTCATCAAAACATCCAAACTAAGAAATTGGGCAATCCTGTGTAAAACTTGTCTTGTCTTCATTGCTCTGAAAAGCCTCTTGGCTAAATTGTTTGTCCAGTGCTTTAGTCCTGAGTTCACTCAGCTCCACTGATGCTTGATTCAGAACATCTTCCATCTTCTCAAGCTCATCCATAGTCAGGTCTGTCTGGCATCCTGCATCTACAAAGGAGATAAGGGGGAGAAGGATTAGTTCTATAATTTACAATGTCTTTTATTGAATTATGTTACTATTCTAAATTATTGTAACCATAAAATCATTTACAAAAGCCTCCCAAAGCACTGTGTACCTCTACTTGAGAAGAAAACATTGTAGTACTACATTTACTTGACTCAACAGTGTGTGTACTAGTACATAGAGAGATTTTAACAGACACTTGCTCACACACAGAGGCTACATCCAAACTACAACGTATCCGTTTTAAAACGCATATCTTTTGCTACTTTTACGCCTAGCGTCCACACTACTCCGGAGTTTTAGACACACAAAAACGGAGACGGTGGTGATGCGTCTGTACTCACGATGACTGAGTATATGACATCAGTTGCGAGTGACGTATTCCTTCCTTCCTGGCCGAGGAAGGATTGTAAACAGGACGATGGCATGGGATGGCTCTCTTATAATATGTCCGTAGGCTTACAGCAAGCAGTTCAGTGTCAGTGCTACACAAATGTTTTTTAATTTTGATATGACCAGGATTGAACCATCTGTTGTTAACGAGAATAACAATTCCCCCACCTTTCTTCTTTTCACTCTCCCTGCAAGTCTTGTCTGCCCGTACCATCAGGAACCGTCTACAGACAGGTCTGGAGTCAGGGATGTCTTCGTTTAGCCATTAACATTCTACATTATGTCCACTGCTTCTGTTATTATTAGTAGTAATCACTTTTCTATTATTATTTCTGCTATTAATATTCTTATTATATGTATGATTTATACCAGGGGTATTCAATTAAAGTTCAGCGAGGTCCATTTAGAGAGAATTTCCTCATGCAAAGGTCCAGAACATCACAATAATGTCTAACTTGTGCTATGATTTAGTCCCATATACATTATATTAAAGTAGCCAACAGTTGTATTAACGTCTGTATGTCGTCAACAACTGACTGTCAAATCAAATAAAGAAATTCAATTGAATCTCAACAATAATGATTATCAGTTTTCAAATTGAACTGGAGGAATTATAAATAAATCATTATCTAATAATTAATCAATGTTCTCTTATTTCAAGTAATATAAGGGCTGCATTTAAGAATACATTAAATAACAGAAAGCTTTTGAAAAATGTGACTCTTCATTTTAGAAATGGCCCTGCAGCTTTAAATTCAGATAATTCTGCGTGAAGTGATGTCAACCAAGAAAACCATGATATTATATTTTTTTCATCTTCTAAAAATAGAAATTTGTGTGCAGGGATTTTATCCGTGGTTATTAAAACCACTTGTTTCAGCTCTATTCCTCTCTGATTTATGTCATATGGATTGACTATGTTGTACCTCTGTTATGTTCATTCTGTACACATGACATCTATCACACTTCTGTCCATCCTGAGAGGATCCCTCCTCTTCCTGAGGTTTCTTCCTTTTTTTACTGTCAAGGTTTTTTTGGGGGAAGGTAAAAAATGTATAGAAACATTAAGACAAGATATTACTGATTTAAAACAAGACATTAAAAAAATATATAAAAGATAAAACACAGGCCTAAATGGCTTTATAGTGACAAAAGTACTTTGTTAAAGTGTCGTTTTATTGCCCATTTTTGTTTTTCCACAGTCAGGCCAGCTTGTTTTAGCTTCCTCAGGAAGAAGAGCCTCTGCTGGGCTTTCTTCACCAGGTGGGATGTGTTCAGGGACCAAGTGAGATCTTCAGTAATGTGTAGTCCCAGGTTGTTGTCCGAGCACCACTCAGCCAGATGTTGGACCTCCTGTCTATAGTGCGTCTCGTCGTTGTTGAGTCCCACCACAGTGGTGTCGTCGGCAAACTTCGCTATCGTGTTGGAGGAATAGGTGGGGGAGCAGTCCTGGGGGAAGAGGGCCGGGCTGAGCACACAGCCCTGTGGTGCACCAGTGTTCAGGATGGTGGTTGTCGATGTCAGGTTCCCTATCCTGACATTCTGTGGTCTGTTTGAGAGAAAGTCCAGAATCCATGAACAGAGTGAGGTAGAGAGTCCAAGGTTTTTGAGTTTATGCACCAGTTTATGGGGGATGATGGTGTTGAAGGCAGAGCTGAAGTCAACGAAGAGTATTCTGGCGTATGTGTTAGGGTGCTCCAGGTGAGACAGGGCCGTATGAAGTGTGGTGAAGACCGCGTCCTCCGTAGATCTGTTCACTCAGTATGCAAACTGGTGGCTGTCCAGGTCAGCTGGGAGGACGTCCTTGATGTGCGATTGTATCATCCTCTCGAAGCACTTCATGATCACTGGGGTCAGGGCAACTGGGCGGTAGTCATTGAGGCAGGTGACTGCGGTCTTTTTCGGGACAGGGACAATGGTGATGGATTTGAGGCAGGTGGGGACTGCAGCTTGTTGCAGGGAGAGGTTGAAGATGTTGGTGAACACCTCTGCAAGCTGGTCAGCACAGGTCCTGAGGAGGATCGACATCACCAAGGTGCTCCTCCTTGGGCTGGGTCTTCTCAGCTGTTGCTCCGCTGTGCTGTCTATCAAAGCGGGTGAAGAAGCGGTTCAGAGTGCACTGAACGGAGGTCACTGTCCTGACTGATCTGTGTGGTGCTGCTCTTGTAGCACCACACTGCTCTCACGATACTCAATCTGACTCATCACCAGGGCTGTTAGCTAGTCCATCAATTTACCCAGCAATCTCTCCTTTCTCATGGTGGTGGGAGTCAATGGCATATCATTACTGCCCTGCATTCTTTTTCCCTCAACACACTTAATATAATTTAATTGATTAAATTACTTTTTTTAAACAAAAGGGAGAACTGAGTCACAATCTGGCACAAAATAAGAACAGACAAAGACATACTCAATAAAAACAAGTTCCAAACATTCTCCACACATGACGGACACACAGTGCTGATTATATACAATTGCAATTGCAACATAAACTGTAGTGCTAATAAGAGTGCTGAAAATTGAATGTATGTCCTGCCATATAAAGGAAAAACTAATGGAACAAACAGCTTTTGTCACTTTATGTTCTTTTCTGTAGGAAGAATCCCCGCTCAGGCGACCAGGATAACGCTCAGCAGGGGACAGACAGGTATCGAACTTCAGAAGAACCCACAATTCAGAAATCAGTTGCAGCAGTTGAGGAGAGTAATTTAAACATACCTGCATCTTCTCAAAAGCCGTCAGGTATGGAGCACTTCTCACAGCAAGACTGTAGTCCAACCCCAGCACCAGGGTCTTGTCCCCTCTCCCCATCACGTTACATGAGGCGTTTGCCCCCTCCTCCTGCCTTTTACCTGCCGAAGGAGCACAGCTATGCTCAGCTCTGCCCCTTGCTGTGGAGGAGACGTTACGACCAAGCTATTGACTGCTTGGAGAAGGCTTTACGGCAATTGCATGCCACTAGGCGGAGGGAGAACCGCCTGCGCAGCACTGTGCTGAGGCTCCATGATAAACGGCTGAAGCACACATTACTTGTGTCACAAGATGGTTGTGAAAACAGAGGGAGCTGGACACAATTGGGGGAGAGGAGACGAGGCAAAGGTGGCTCTAACCAGGAGGAGAGTGAGATTGATGCTAAATCTGAAGACATAGGGTTGTGTGAGGACAGATATGTGGATCAGACAGAATTGGGGAATCATTTTCTTCGAGCAACTAACAGCTGGTCTGAGGAGGAGAAGGGTTACTGCTTTTCCTGTGGAAGAGGCCAGGCGCAGGTTGGTGATCAGGTAGCAGGCAGAGTTTCAAAGACTGGGAAAGATGTCCAGCCCACAGTGCACAAGGACTTTCTGCAGATTCAGAGATGTATTGAAACCAGTACTTGTGGCACAGTTGAAAATGCCAAGGACATACAAATAGTCAGGCTGGAAAGGCCTCCTGGGAAAAGTGTAGAAACCAGTGACCCAAATTCCCAAATCCTGCTCCAAACTCAAGGTCATTCACATGTGATCCCTGTGCCTGATGCTCATGAGCAAAGTTTGCAGTGTTTAGACTCTCAGCAGCTGCTCTCTGATAGGTGTGAGGGGCAACATGAAGCTTTGGTTCAGGATCATCACCTGGATCTGCAGCAGCTGTTGTGGATACAGGACAGTTTGGAGGGACAGGTCATTCTGGTGCCTGTCCCTGCTGAAGATGGACTACAAAGGCTTTTGAAGATGGAGGGAGTTGCTGATGAAGCACAAACCATACTTGTGTCAGAACTGGATCTTAAAGGAGACTTGGGACACATGACGGAGAACAGCGGAGATCTGTCCAGAGTTCAAACAGCCTGTGATGATGAACACAGTGACCAGCATTCCATTATCAACACTACACTGGTGGAAATGGGAGAAGATGTGAGGGAGAAACTTAAAGAACACCTGGAGGGATTTCACCTTCAGCTGAGCACCGAGTTTATAAACTAAGATGTGATTTTGTTACCTCAATGATTCTTGGATGAATATGCTTTGTATTGTGCTGTATAGTATGGTGCTTGGCCTCTGGAATATATGACACCAGACATGGTGTTGTTGTAGAGCAACAAACATTGAAGTTAGGCAGTTAAGTTACAATCTTGAAGATCTCTGTTTCAATCTCTTTGGCAATTGCAGGTGTGTTTTGAGATCTCACTTCCCAGAGTGCACCGCTTGTGATTTTGTCCAAAGTTGCCACCGACACCCAGTTCATCTTACTGCAAATGCAAGGGCTTTTATCAGTAGGCCACAGGGACTTAAGACACAATTATGAAATGAAAATCTTTGAGATTATTACTTTCAGACATATTCAGTGCTTAGTCACTTCAGAGAAGTGCTTTTATGTGCTGTGCCAAACCAGCAGTGAACATATCTATTAACAAGTGTGTATATCAATGCCTGATTCATCTATGTACCATGGAGCTCCATTGTTGTGCAAAAACTATTAAAAACACATCAATGAGCCTCACTGTTGCATTGGGTGACAAAATGAAACTATGTATTTGTAAATTGTAAATATGTATTTATTCAGTAGGAGCCAATGGGGTAGGAGTTGAAACAGACCAGGTGGAGAAGTTAGAAAGTAAACTTTCAAACACATTCAATTAAATTAATTTGTATAACCCAATATCACAATTCTTCCTCAGAGGGCTTTACAGTATGTACAACATGCGGAGGATCCTCTATCAGGATGGACAGAAGTGTGATAGATGCCATGTCTACAGAATGAACAACATAACAGAGTTACAACACATTCAATGCATATGATATAAATTATTAATATAATGAGAGTAGTAACTGCAGTAGTACTATTAATAGCAGAAATAATACTATAAATATAATGACTACTAATAATAACAGCAGCATTTAATAGAATAAAAATGACAAAGTAGTACAAGTAAAACATTGTTGGTTTTGGACTTCTCATAGGATTTGTTGACAATTAGAAAAATTATTATTTAATGTGTAAATCAAAAATATTTTAAAAACAATGATTTAATTGGGAAAAATAAAACAACTGAATAATTCTTAAGTGAAATGACAAACGAAGGTAAATCTGATGTTGAAATAAAGGGTTAATTGCAATTTTGACTTTTATTTTTCAGTTTCCCTCGTATTTTTAAAATGTCCATTGTGTTAGGAAGTGCAACCGTATGTTCTCAGAATTGTGCAGGAGCAATGTATTGTATAGTTCATATAGAGCAGTGAAAACTTTGTAGATGTTTCTATCATGTCAGGGAATAGAAAGTGTTAGATCGAATAAATGTTATCATCCACCTAAGAAAAGCAAAGTGGATGTAATGTTGGACAACTTGTACTTTTCTAGATGCTAAATCACTTTCAAAGCACTTAAAGAAAACATTTCCTAAATAGTTGATGGTCAAATAGATGACCAGAATTCAGCTGCTGAGTTCAGCTGGCACTGAAATGTAATGTAAGTGTTTCTCTGTGAAGTCATTTATGCAACTACATTGTTTGCATTCACTATCCCTTATGAAATTTGACAAATTAATAACGAATAAATGTGTTTGTGTACACTGTCTAAATTGTTGTGCTTGTGAAGTGATGGCATCTAGTGGCCAACCCACTACAGGTCATGGTTAAGTCAAGAAAAAGTACTGTTTGGAATGAGGATACAGCATGAGGACAGGACCTAAAGAAATGCATCACAACCGTGATATCATCTTCACTGAAATAAATAATACATTATATTATCATTTCCATGACCTGTCTGAAAAGTCTTTGTCTTGTTGGAAGGATCTTACCAGAAATTAGAAAACCTTTTGTAGATACAGTTGTGTGAAAAAGTGTTTGCCCCCTTCCTGATTTCTTATCTTTTTGCATGTTTGTCACACTTAAATGTTTCAGATCATCAAACAAATTTAAATATTAGACAAAGATAACACAAGTAAACACAAAATGCAGTTTTTAAATGAAGGTTTTTATTATTAAGGGGGAAAAAAAATCCAAACCTACATGGCCCTGTGTGAAAAAGTGATTGCCCCCCCCTGTTAAAACATAAATTAACTGTGGTTTATCACATCTTTGGAAAGCTGAGTTCAATTTCTCTAGCCACACCCAGGCCTGATTACTGCCACACCTGTTCTCAATCAAGAAATCACTTAAATAGGACCTGCCTGACAAAGTGAGGTAGACCAAAAGATCCTCAAAAGCTAGACATCATGCTGCGATCCAAAGAAATTCAGGAACAAATGAGAAACAAAGTAATTGAGATCTATCAGTCTGGAAAAGGTTACAAAGCCATTTCTAAAGCTTTGGGACTCCAGCGAACCACAGTGAGAGCCATTATCCACAAATGGCGAAAACATGGAACAGTGGTGAACCTTCCCAGGAGTGGCCGGCCGACCAAAATTACCCCAAGAGCGCAGCGACGACTCATCCAAGAGGTCACAAAAGACCCCAGAACAACATCCAAAGAACTGCAGGCCTCACTTGCCTCAATTAAGGTCAGTGTTCATGACTCCACCATAAGAAAGAGACTGGGCAAAAATGGCCTGCATGGCAGAGTTCCAAGACGAAAACCACTGCTGAGCAAAAAGAACATAAAGGCTCGTCTCAGTTTTGCCAGAAAACATCTTGATGATCCCCAAGACTTTTGGGAAAATACTCTGTGGACTGACGAGACAAAAGTTGAACTTTTTGGAAGGTGTATGTCCCATTACATCTGGCGTAAAAGTAACACGGCATTTCAGAAAAGGAACATCATACCAACAGTAAAATATGGTGGTGGTAGTGTGATGGTCTGGGGCTGTTTTGCTGCTTCAGGACCTGGAAGACTTGCTGTGGTAAATGGAACCATGAATTCTGCTGTCTACCAAAAAATCCTGAAGGAGAATGTCCGGCCATCTGTTCGTGACCTCAAGCTGAAGCGCACTTGGGTTCTGCAGCAGGACAATGATCCAAAACACACCAGCAAGTCCACCTCTGAATGGCTTAAGAAAAACAAAATGAAGACTTTGGAGTGGCCTAGTCAAAGTCCCGACCTGAATCCGATTGAGATGCTGTGGCATGACCTTAAAAAGGCGGTTCATGCTCGAAAACCCTCCAATGTGGCTGAATTACAACAATTCTGCAAAGATGAGTGGGCCAAAATTCCTCTACAGCGCTGTAAAAGACTCATTGCCAGTTATCGCAAACGCTTGATTGCAGTTGTTGCTGCTAAGGGTGGCCCAACCAGTTATTAGGTTTAGGGGGCAATCACTTTTTCACACAGGGCCATGTAGGTTTGGATTTTTTTTCCCCCTTAATAATAAAAACCTTCATTTAAAAACTGCATTTTGTGTTTACTTGTGTTATCTTTGTCTAATATTTAAATTTGTTTGATGATCTGAAACATTTAAGTGTGACAAACATGCAAAAAAATAAGAAATCAGGAAGGGGGCAAACACTTTT